TTAAATATTGCATGGCCAGAGAGAGAGAGAGAGAGAGAAAATAGAAGATAAATAAAAAAGAAGTAATGAGTTCTTTTTCAAACAGATGGAAGAACAAGACATGGAAAGAGAAGGGAGGGAGGGGAGGGAAAGGGCATGCGCAAAAATGAATTGAATGGAAAAGTGATGAAAATAGAGCTTTTGCAAATGGGAAGGGGTCCAAGAGTAGGGGATTAAAAAAAAACAGAATTACGATGTATTATGCACATGTACCAACTGCCCATAATACATGTAATCATGTGCTGAAAACACATACTAATAAAAAATGTATCATTAATAATGTGAGATTGCCAGGTTATTGGTCCATTTTACCTTATTATGATGGCAGAAAGAAGCTGTTTGCCACATGCTGGCTAAGAAGTAGAGAGAGAAGGGAGGGAACCAGGGAAAAGAAAAAAAACCATCCCAACCAGGTCCCCGGTGACTCACTCCTTCTGACCAGGCCCTATTCCCAAACATTAGACTTTTGGTGAACATTTTAGATCCAAACCATAACACTGACTTTACTATAAATGGACTTTATTCTTTCATATAAATTTTAGATTGCTTTTACTAAGTTTCTTAAAATAAATTCAGCTGTAATTTTTATTGGATTTGCACTGAATTTACAAACTTGGAGAGCATTTATATCTTTAGATATTATGCCAAAGTATCCCTTCATATAGTATAATTCTATTTAATCAGATTTTCTTGTATGTTCTTCATAATTACATTCTTTTCCATAAATTATATTATTCTTCATTACATTACATTGTTTTCTTGTGAACAGTTGTAAAATTATATTGCAAATACTTTGTTGTCTTTATCACCCTTAGGAATAGTATCTTCTTTTCTATTGCTTTGTTCTATAATTTGTCGGGTTTTTCTAGGTTTTTTGAGATGGAGTCTCACTATGGAGTCTAGGCTGGCCTTGAACTTGTGATCCTCTTGCCTTAGCTTCCCAAGTGTTAGCATTACTGGCATGTGCCACCATGCCTGTCTTATTGTGTCATTTAGTTATGTTGGGTTTTCTATGTAGCTGATCCCATTGTCTGAAAATAACGGCTCTTCCATCTCCTCTCTTCCAATTCTAATACATATATCTTTCCTTGACAAGAAGTGCCAGTGTGTTCTTGCATGGCCTTGGGAACAGGTGCCCCTGTCTTGTTCCCAGCGTCACAGGCATGGACCTGGATTCATCTCTAGGTGTGATATCCTCTAAGCTTCACACAACCCACCTATGATCTGGGAAAATTTCTGCACTTTTCTGTTGTTTACTGCTTCCCTGTATCCACCCTCCCACCTTTCCAAACTCTTCCCAACCTTCAGAGCCAAGCTCAGGCCTGACTACTGGCTCTCTGACTACTGCACTTGTCCTCTGAGCTCCTGAAACAAGATTCACCTACCACTCAAAGGACAGTGAGTCATGAGCTGCCTTGAAGAACTGCTTTATCTGATATCCATCCCACTGGTGCACATTTACTAATCGACCCAACTAAACATTTGGCTCCTGAGAATTAAGAGCAGGTATTAAGTTCCCTTGCATCCTCTGCAGTGCCCATTACCTGTGCAATAAGTCATTGTCAATGTGTGGTGCTGTCAGCCTTTCTCAGCTCAAGCTAACAGGCTTTGTGCTGTTATGAATTCAAGGCCAGAAAGCAAAACCAGAGGCATCTGGGCTGGGAGAGGAATGGCAAGTGAAGGCTCAGGGACTCCTCCTATCCATGCTGGGCCCCCTGGTGCATATTCAGCACTCTCTGATCAGGTGCCTCCTACGTGCTTTCATAGACACCAGCCCAGTTCATCTTCACAGAGTCCCAGGACTATAATTCTAACTTGACAGATGGATAAACAGGGCTTCCAGAGATTAATGGCCTTGTCATACCACGTCAGAAATGGTATCTGTACCTACATTTCCTAACTCCAGATCTTACCAACTCACTGCAGCAGCCTCCCATGGCAACATCACCTCTAGCTAGGCACCAAAAGGCACACCCAGCACCAGGACAGTCTCTTGAGCCCCAACAAGCCCACCTCTAGGAACTTATTTTAAGGAAATTAGTGGAGATATGCACAAAGATGTATTCACTAATGTTCATCATAGGGTTGTTTATCAAAATTCTATTAGCAAAAAGCAGAAATCTGAAGGTTGATGGATATTAAGGCAAGAGAAAATGACGAACTCAGAGCATCTATGGGTCAGAAGCCAGGCAGACAGGCAAAATAATGCACAGTTAAGAGTAAGGACAAGTGGTGGCTGCAAGCCCAGAGAGGTGGGCAAGAATCAGAGAACTAGAGCCACAGGACAAGCAGCCACTCTGGACAGCAGGACAAGTGAGTCCCCAGGCTGACCCAACCAGCCACCAGATGGGCAGGCACAGAGCACGGGCCTTGGTGACTGAAATAGCCTGGGTCCACCAGAGCTTTTATAAGCCCTTGGTTAGGGAAGCGTTCAGTCACAGCCTGCAGTTTGGGTGGAGGGAACCAGCCCACTGGGCTGCCGCTGGCCTGTGTCAGCATCCTGCTTACATTTGTTTTCTAGGGGTTCCTGGTCTGCAATTCTCTTTGTTCTGGACTACTTACAAATAGAGACTCTAATTTTGGCTTTTTGAGGTGGCCACAACTGCCTTGTAACGCCATCAGCTGTTTTCTGCTGAGCCAGGCACAGTACCTGGCATCTCATTGGCCTGTGACACTGTCCCTTCACAAAGACTTGCTGGCTTCACGCAACCCAGAGCCAGTCAGCACGTCAGCATGGAGTGGGGGTGGGGCAGCCCTTCCCACCACCTGGCATTTGTTTAATCTTCCCAGTGCCAGCAAAGTATGGACTGTCGATCATAGTTTATGAGTAAGCAAACTGGGAAGACAGCATGTGCCACATCAGAGTAAGTGGCCAAGCTGAGATCCAAACCATGTTTCTTTTTGTTTTATTTTTAATCTCCAGGATCTGTGCAATGTCAGCTCCAATCTAGACAGGAGTAGATACTGTCGTGGCTCCCTAGCCCAAGGAGGTACATGAGTCTACACAGAGCTCCTCTGTAAAGGTGTCCACCCCGATACCAAGCCCACTGGACTGAGATAGATGAGCTGAGAACAGTGAAGCAGTTACCAGGGTGGTGATGGAGAAATGCTCATGTAGGACTCACTACCTCGTGTCCTGGCATTTCACCAAAGAACAAATCTTACGGAATTGTTGATTGTGCTCTAAGAACCCTCCTAGTGCTCACCAGCACCAGCATGGGTTACAACAGGAGGAGGCCTGGCTCTTGGATCCCTAGGAGAGGTGGCCCAGCAAAGGCTCAGCATAAAAACACCAGCCAGCCCACCCTCCCTGACAGGTGCGCCAAGAACCCCAGCAGCCATTTAGCTGGACCCAGCCATCTGAACCCCTAAGGCTGAGCTCCTTTGACATATTTCTCACACCAGAAGCTAGTAGCCCACAGTCCACACCCTGAGTTCCCACTCCAGATGTCAGCCTAGGGAATCCTGTGCTTGGACCCAGAAAGTCTTTTCCTCAGGATCCAGGGCAGTTTGTCCAGTTCCCTGACCAATTCCCATAGCACCGTCCCCTGTCCCCCCCTCAGGTAACACAAAAGATGGGCCCCTCCTCTGTCATTCCCAAATCTCCCCTCTGGGTAAAACTAGCCTGAGCATCTGAAGGCCAGTAAAGGGAAGCAAAAGGTGAGGATCCCAGAGGACAGTGAGGGGTTACTTTTAGCCCAGACTAGGCCAGTGTTTGGCTACAACTGGTCAGGAAATAGCTCCATCAAAGGAGTCGTCCTCATGGGTCCAGGGATTTAGCTCAGTGGTTTCGCCGCCTGCTGCACAAGCACAAGGACCTGAGTTCTATCCCTGGTACCAAAAAAAAAGGAGTCATCCTCAAAGGCTGTCCAGACATGCATGTGGAGAGATTATGGGCAAGATCCTTGGGTTAAAGGCTCAGTCCCACTGTCCATCCATCAAAGCCATCACCTCACTTAGTCCTAAGGCAAAAGGGACCAAATTAAGCGGAGTTAGCTTTAAGGATAGCCACATGCCAAGCCCTCTGGTACTTCACCCTGAAGGTACTCTGAGAGAAAAAAGGGGTCCAACTGCAGGACCTTGGTGACCCTGCACACAGCACCTTGCCTCCTTCTTAGGGGGTACATATACATCAGGACTCCACTGCTGAGCCTCCCTGCTCCCTGATCAAGCCTTGGAGCTCTGGGACATTCCACACTCCCAGCCCTGCTCCAAATCCCACCAGCAATTATGCCCAGAACTCAGAGGAACAGCCCTGACTCTGTCCTGAACACTTGCCTCAGTTTCTCCCATATCCCAGAGGATCTCCCTGCACTAAGAATACCCAAATGCAGAGACCATCGCCCACTCTCCAAATCTCTGTCCCTGCTTCCAGCCCTGACCAGGCTAGCCACCAATGGGTTAGGCGAGGCTGAACCTGACAGTGACGAAAGAGCCCTGACTTAGATAGCAAAGGGAAGGCAAGCAAGCCTAGAATAAGAGGTTATTTGGGGGCCAGGGATTTAGCTCAGTGATTTCGCCACCTGCTGCACAAGCCCAAGGACCCGAGTTTGATCCCCCGTACCAAAAAAAAAAAAAAAAAACAGGTTATTTGGGACTCGGACAGCCCCCTTGATGGGAGAGCAGGCAGCCACTTGGGGTTTGACCAGGTAGCCCCTCCCCCTTTTCCACCTAGAGGCAATGGGAGGGGCAGAAGTGGAGAAGCTTGTAAAGAGCTTTGAAGATGAAACGGCCTGTGGCCAAGGCTTGTTGACACAGCCACACTGAAGAGGCAAGTGGGTTGGAGCTCAAGTGGCCGGGTGATGCCAAGCCAATAAAACATAGCTATTGTGTCTTTGCTGTCCCTTTTAATGCCAGCTGCTCCTGGCAAATAAAAGGGCCTGCCACAAGCCAGGAGCACAGTCCTTTGGCTCCATCCTCCACCAGCTTCTCCACTGCCCAGAAAGCCCCTTACCTCCGTCATGACCTGTGGCTTCCGTTCTGTGGGTTCTGGATTCCGCCCTGGAAGCTTCAGCTGCGCCTCTGCCTGCGGGCCCAGGCCAGGCCGCTGCTGCATCACCGCCGCCCCCTACCGCGGCATCTCCTGCTACCGCGGCCTCTCAGGAGGCTTTGGCAGCCGCAGCGTCTGCGGGGCCTACCGCACCGGCTCCTGCGGCCGCAGCTTTGGCTACCGCTCAGGGGGCATCTGCGGCCCCAGCCCGCCCTGCATCACCAGCGTGTCAGTCAACGAGAGCCTCCTCACGCCCCTCAACCTGGACATCGACCCCAATGCGCAGTGCGTGAAGCACGAGGAGAAGGAGCAGATCAAGTGCCTCAACAGCAGGTTCGCTGCCTTCATCGACAAGGTGGGTGACCTGCACCGCACCCTTCCTGAACCCTTGCTCCTGGGCACCACCAGGGCTAGACACAGAGAAGGGAATCAGATTCAGAAAGACCTCTGCCTCACTGAGACCACACTCTGAGGGGAGAGGCGTGCGTGCACGCGCACACACACACACACACGTGCGCACACACACACACGCACACGGGCACTACAGACCCAGAAATGCACCACAGACAGTAGACAGAAGCAGAGCTTGTGGGGAAAGTGCAGCCAGGCTGGGCTGGACACAGACTAGACTGCAGGAAGTCCCAGAGCAATGTGCTTGCTGCTGCTGCTGCTGCTGGTGGTACCAGGGAGGCCAGGCAGCCCTGGGTCAAGGGCTGTGTTCCCTGTGAAGGGTAGGGGTGCCTGACCACGAGGGACAGTGGGAGAGGGCCCAGGGTGCTGAGCTGTCCCCAGACGGCCTGTGACCTCCCCACACCCCATTCTGTGATCTGAGTCTGTGTGCACAGCCTGAGGGGCTCCTGCCTCACTGGCTGCAGGGAGGGGGCTGAGCTCTGGGTGACACCTGACGATTGCCACTTGACGTGTGCCACTTGGCCCCAGCTGTGTGGGTAACTCAGCTCACCTGAGAGCAGCACCAGCAGAAGTTACCTGGAGCCCACAACCCACCCCTGCTCCATCCTGCTGAGCTGGAGTCCACCTCCCACAATCACTCCCAGAGCTGGTCTCGGGGCAGTAGGCACCCTTTGACCTGTCCTTCCCGCCTCTGTGTGCAGGTGCGCTTCCTGGAGCAGCAGAACAAGCTGCTGGAGACCAAGTTGCAGTTCTTCCAGAACCGCGAGTGCTGCCAGAGTAACCTGGAGCCACTGTTTGAGGGCTACATCCAGACGCTGAGGCGGGAGGCTGAGTGTGTGGAGGCCGATGGTGGGAGGCTGGCCTCGGAGCTCAACCACGTGCAGGAGGTGCTGGAGGGCTACAAGAAGAAGTGAGTGTGCCGCCCAGGGGCAACTCAGGGGAAGGCTCAGTGGAACCTCCCTGAGCCCAAAGAGTGTCAGATCCGTGGCTGGGATCCCTGTATTCCCCCACTTCCTCGCAGCCAGGAGGCCCTTAATGGTCAGAAGCCAGGAGACGGAGGCTGAACTGCTCTCCCTGCATCAGTTCAGATCACTATTGCTCTGTCCTATTCTCCATCTCCAAACTCTGCAGAGCAATTTGTATTTTCTAGTCCCTCGGACTCCACTGTCAAAGTTCAGGACCCTGGGCTGGGGGTTAGCAGACCAGGGCCCAGTGTAGACCTGGTCCCTGTCTTTGGGGGATTAGAGTCCACCGCTAGGCAGACATAGCACAGGCATGCATGTAGATGTTCAGTTACAAAGTAATTTACTTCTCTTGGTTCAAGTGCAGCAGAGGAATGGGGGAAGAGGGGACCTTACTACCAACAGTGAGATTGGGGTGCTGAGAGAGTGCTCAGAGGGAAAAGAGGAAAACGGAGACCTTCGGGACCAGGACCTGCACCCCACCTCTCCATGGCCTGCCCATTCCTTTGGAGGCCAGAGGAGCAGGGGCAGGTCCGGGAATGAGGCCCAGCTTCATAGCCAAGCCAGGGCGGTGCAGACAGGGCCTGCCCTCCCTTCCACCTCAGGTATGAAGAAGAAGTTGCACTTCGGGCCACAGCAGAGAACGAGTTTGTAGCTCTGAAGAAGGTGAGTGTCTGAAGCCAGCCCAGCCCTAGTGCCCTTCTACCCTGCCCCTCTGGCCTGCCACACTGCAGCCAGGTCCCCAGAGCACCCTGGGGAAGCTGGACTCACAGCCCCTTGCCAACCTGCACAGGACGTGGACTGCGCCTACCTGCACAAGTCAGACCTGGAGGCCAATGCGGAGGCACTGACACAGGAGATGGACTTCCTGAGGCGGCTGTACGAGGAGGTCAGTGGCTCACGGCCATGGTGGGCACACATGTGGCTCTGACAGGGTCCCCATCCCTGCCCAAACCCCACAGGCAGGAGCCAGGACTCCTGGTAGCCCAGACTGCAGGCTAGAGGGGAGCAAGGAGAAGGAAGGAACAGGAAGAAGAATGGAAGCCCACAACTAGGTCAGTGCAGAGAGGGCAAAAGGGTGAGGCCTCAGGATCAGCTGTGCCTGAGAAGCCATCCTGTGTCCTCCCTCGAGCCAGTGGGGTACAGCAGAGGCCTCCAAAGCCCAAGACAGCTTTGGCCACGCCTGGTCCAGGGTTTTCCCTGGCAGCCAATAGTCTTGCTTGATGTGGTTGAGAACATGCACAGGTCCCCACAGCCAGTCTGCCCCCTGGGGAGCACTTGGGTCATGCTGCTTCTGGGAAGTAGCCTAGGTTCACATGTGCCCAAAGAGTTTGAGAAACAAGCATCTGAGAAGTGGGCATTGTTGGGGACTTCTTTATGCAGAAAGCTATATTTCATCCTGGGGTTTCAGCTTCAAACCTGGGAGGTGGGCTGCACAGCAGCCAAGGGATTATAGGCACCGCTGGATGGGAAGAGCCCACATAACTTGGTTGTCCTTCCTCTGGGCCCCTTCCTGCAGGAGATCCGCATTCTCCAGTCCCACATCTCAGACACCTCTGTCATCGTCAAGATGGACAACAGCCGGGAGCTGAACATGGACTGTGTTGTGGCTGAGATCAAGGCTCAGTATGATGACATTGCTACCCGCAGCCGGGCGGAGGCTGAGTCCTGGTACCGCACCAAAGTGAGTGGCTCAGGACACCTACTTCTTAGACGTGTCCGTAAAGGGATGTGATGTATCTATTAGGAAATTCTAGGATTCTGATCTCTAAGGATGGTAGGAAAAGGGCAGACAACTTGCAGATTGGAGTAGTGGGGCTGCCATGTGGTTACACAAGCTGAGCACTATAGAACTTCCATAGTTTTCAATGATGTCCTGAAGGTGTGGATGGTTGTTCCTTTCTGAGCTTCATGAGCGTCTCATTTCCTGCAGTGCGAAGAGATCAAAGCCACAGTGATCCGGCATGGGGAGACCCTGCGCCGCACCAGGGAGGAGATCAATGAGCTGAACCGCATCATCCAGAGGCTGACAGCTGAGATTGAGAATGCCAAGTGCCAGGTATGGCTCAGCTGTGCCCAAATCATAGAGGCTGGGGGCCCACCCAGTGCCGCACAGTCAACGTGTGCCCTGTCTAAACCCCACCATGCATTTTCCATTCTTTTTGTCTGACTACAGTCCCTGGTCATGGTCAACCAGGGCAAAGCCTTCTTTTGGGGATATTTCTAATTGGGTGGCTGAGCCTGGACACATCCAGGTAATGAGCCTGGAAATCCATGAAGCATAACCCACTTTGTTCTTTCCTGGGCCCCCAGAACACCAAGCTGGAGACTGCAGTGACCCAGTCTGAGCAGCAGGGTGAGGCTGCCCTCAACGATGCCCGCTGCAAGCTGGCAGGGCTGGAGGAGGCCCTGCAGAAGGCCAAGCAGGACATGGCCTGCCTGCTCAAGGAGTACCAGGAGGTCATGAACTCCAAGCTGGGCCTGGACATCGAGATCGCCACCTACAGGCGCCTGCTGGAGGGCGAGGAGCAGAGGTGAACCAGCCCAGATACCATGCACTCCTCTGCATAAACCAGCCCACTTTCAACTCCCTCTGGTCTCAGTCTCACCCCACAAATGGCCCCAGGCTAGTCTCTTGCTGATTGGCTCCCAGGTCTCATTTCACAGACCTGGAACTGGTAAATGTCCCCTTCTCATGCAAGACTGATGGCACTGTGATGTCCAGAGCCGCAGTGAACCCAGGATCCTGCTGGGGCTAGAACCTAAGCACTTGCCACTCAGTTCAGAACATCCTTAAATTCTTCCAAGAACCATACGCTGGGATCTAGGTACTCACTTGCCTATGGTAGAGTTACTGTTCAAACTCTGTCCTTGGCCTTACATGTCGAAGAGGACTTTCCTTTCCCAAAGCTGCCTATCCAGGACTTCCAGATATGGTTGTTAAAGATGTACATTGCACAGAGGCAGCCAGATAAGAGAAAATGAGAGTCCACCCTATGTTTTCTGTCTGAAAGACACATTTTTCTAAGCTGCACTGAGGCATGAATATAGATCAAAAGCAGCCCTGGGATGAGACATTCTGGTGCCCACAGGAAACTTGAGGTTCTCATTCTGACTTCTTTCCTCTTCCCCTCTCCATCTTTTCCCACCCAGGCTGTGTGAAGGTGTTGGAGCTGTAAATGTCTGTAAGTATCGTAAATCGTGAAAAGGAAAATTATGGATTTAGCAACAACAGGCTTTGCTGCCTATGGCTGTACTGACTTTGGGGTGGGGTGTTCCCAATAATTCCCCAGTAAGGGGACACAGCTGATCATGCAGCAGGAAGGATTGAAATTAGCTTGCAGGAAGAATCTCACAACATGAATGAAATGGAGAGAGGAAGATGCCACTTCAGGAAGGAACCGCAGATGTTGCTCAGTAGAATCCCCACCTTGGAGAAGTGAGGAAGCTGACCCCCGAGGGAGGGATATCCCCCAGCTACACAGCAGAGCCAGGACCAGGCTAGGGCTTCTGCTCAGGCTGTCTCCCTCCCCAGCCTCAGCCTTCACAACCGAAGGCTCACTATGGCCATCCTGGAGGACTGCACCCATCAGATGAGGCAGAAGAAGGAGGCTGGCTGGTTGGGATGGCCACCAGTCTCCTGACCTTGGCCTTGTTCTTGCAGGTGTCAGCAGCTCCCGTGGTGGGGTTGTGTGTGGGGACCTCTGCGTGTCTGGCTCCAGGCCTGTGACGGGCAGCGTCTGCAGTGCCCCCTGCACTGGGAATGTGGCAGTGAGCACTGGCCTGTGCGCACCATGTGGAGGAGGTTCTGTCTGCCAGGGGAGGTTCTAAGTGGCCAGAAAAGAGAGAGCCAGGGAAGCTCCTCCCTTCTGCCCAATGTGCCTCTGCCCCCATCCCAGCTGAGATCAGCAGTGCTTTCTTGGGTAGCTTTCCCCTTGTGTTCCAAGAATACACCACTCAGCCCTCTCCACCAGTCACTGCTCTGCTGAAAAGGAGCAGCTGCCAGGATGGACCCATCCCTCCACAGCTGCAGGGCATTCTCTTCCCAAACATGGGGGGGTTCCTTCTTTCCATGCCTCTCTTGCCTCTGGCTGTCCATTTCCCAATAAACTGGGGAACCTGCTATCTGTGCTGTGCTGTCTTGTTTTCCTGGAGCAAGCCCATGTCTATCAAGCGGTAAACAACCAGCCCATCACTCTGGCCTGAGGACTGGATCATTCTAGTTTGTCCTCCTCTTGGATGCCTGCAGGCTGTCCCCAAATATAGCCATTCTTCCCTTGCCAGGCAGTGCTGCCCATGTACTCAGCAAGACCCTTCTAAGTCATACCCACCAGCCTGAGCTGCTTTGTGGCTTTGTTCCTCCAACTGGTTCTGAAGGAAGCCAAAGGAGGCCATAGGATCTGCTGGGAGGCTGTGTGTGTGTGTGTGTGTGTGTGTGTGTGTGTGTGTGTGTGTGTGTGTCTATGTGCATGCACATATGGGTTTGATTCTAGCCCCTTCCCCCCCCACACACACTCATCTTTTCCTGGCACAGCTTCACTGTGTGCCTCCACACACCAACACCACACACACACCACAGCAGCACCCATCAGAAATGCCAAAATTACCTTCAGGTGGCCACCTTGTGCCAATGTGAGCCCCAGTCCCTACTACACTGTCCTCCCCATGCTGCTCATCAAACAAAGGGAGGTTCGACCCTGGACACTGCGCCCTTCTCCCCCTTCCTCCCATATGTGCATCCCTCTTCAGGTCCTCAGCAGCCTTCTCAGGCCCTGGAGCTGGTGAGGGGAGACTGTGCCCTGGCTTTCTCAGCTGTCCTATCACACATACCTCGGCGTCTCAACCCCAACCCTAAGACACCTCTATTGTCCCCTCCCTGGCCTAACCTTACCTATTCTCTGGAGAGCTGTGAAGAGGAAGACTTTGAGAATCTTCTAACCCCATTCTCAAGAAACCAGACCTGGAACAGACCTCAGGAGGTTGCAGTCCACCCCCCTAGGGCTCACCTCCATTTCCTCCCTTGCTGGGCCTCTTTCTCCCTCCTCTTCCCCTGCCTTCCCTAGCCCCTGACCTTTCCTACCAATTTCCCTGTTTTATCTTTAGAGAACACATTCTTTTCCCTCTCTCCTAGAATCTCTAGTCTGCTAATGATACCAGATGGGATCTTTTGACTCAGAGATGGTAGAAATAAGAACAAGCCAAATATTACAAGCATGTACACAGGCAAGACTTTTCTGGGGTAGGAGGAGTGCAGCTGTACTGGGACTTCAACAAAAGGAAAACAACATTGATCAAGAAAGGGATTACACTGCTCACAGAACAAAAACAATAGCAAGTTTTTATTGAATTGATGAGGTGGACTAAAGTCCCGTAAATTTTCATTGGCCAGTGACATAGTTTCAAACGATGCTTCTTCTTATGACCTCCAAGTTGTCGTGGCCCGCTTGTCCTAGAGGCTGTTGAATTATTTTATCACTGACATCATTATTTTGTGCAAAACATCCCAGCCTTATGGATCTGGGCCTTATGGCATGGCTGCTGAAAAAACCCAAGAGTGAGGGTATTGTAAACACACACCAGCTCAAAGGAGCCATAGGCCACATTAGCCCTGCATCAGAGTCTTGAACAAAACATTTTAAAAATAATCAACATGTCCACGAGCAGAGCTGATTAGAATCTGAAACAAAAGTTAGAGCATTAAAGGAAACAGACACAATAAAAAGACAGAGGAGCCAAACCTTTTTATCCTGTTCTAGTCACCCATTGGATAAGCGAAGAGTCAGGGTTTTTTGCAAAAGCAGACTTCAAGTCCCTGAGAAGTAAGTAACCTAGGCAACTGTTAACATAACCCAGGCATCAGAGGTGATACCTACAGCAGAGGTAGTGGGAAACTAATAAAATATTACCCAGCTATATGACCTCCAAAATTAGTGATCCTTAAGTCAACGAAGGGCAAGTGAAGCTAGAGGGTTTAATAATCCCCTCATTTTGTGTAAATATTGTGCTTCTGTGGTTTCATCAGTCTCACAATGGGTCTGTCACAAAGAACGGAAGGGTAGAGTAGCAATTTGCCATGTTACCAAGGATAATAGCTCACTGGGCCCAGGGATTTATTCTGTTGTCCCAGCCTTGTGTTCTACCATGGTATACCATGACTGTCTTATTGCCCCCTGAGAGATTTTAGCTTCCTTATTCTTAAGGGACAGGACCAAAGGTATCTTCTTCTACAGCTTCTTAAAGCTTATGTATGGACACCATCCCTAACCATCCTGGGCGTTTTCAAAATATCTCACTGTCTGGTCTGAAGGAGTCAGTAATAGTAACATAGGCTCTTGGTTTGTCATGAATTGGAATTCCTGGGTGATTCATCGGCCTTTCTTGAAATTGTTGGAATCTAGAACACACATTTA